AGAAAAGTGTTCAAAAGTGAGTTACCCGCTTGTTGCGGTGTGTGCGGAGCACCGAGTTTCTTTCTCCTCTTTCTTTTCTTCCTCCGCTTCTTCTTTTTGTCGTCCGAGCTGCTCGAAGTCTTCATCTTGCGGCCGTCCTCCTCCGACATGGCAGCGGGCCAACTTCCCCGCACTTGTCGCCCGCTGTCAAACACAAACCGAGCCGACGACTCGGTTTCAGTCCCGACAAAGGGGATTTGGTCGGGGCGAAGCGAGGCGAGGCGGCGAGCGCCGCCGAGACGTCGCCGTGACAACGGCGCGCGAGCCGCAGCGCCCCCTTAGCGCGCAGGTCGACTTTGGAACTGCCCGCGAGGAAAGCGGCCGGACGAGAACAACCGCTCGAGTTTGTGGACTTGGACTGAATCTTCCACTTCCGGTTTGACGAACGGCGGGTCGAGCAAACCCGGAGGACGTGCGACGCGCCAAAAAGAGGGGGACACGTTCGCCTGCAAAGACACCGGACTGACGGTTTTGCGCAATAGCATTGCCATGCGGCGCACTCACAGCTGTTGACAACGGCTGCCCGAGTCGAAAAAAACACACACAAAAAAAGCTCCAAATTTCAGTCTCAGCACTTGCTGGATTGTTTTTTTGTGTTTTAAAGCCGCCAGCGCGTAATGACGCATGGCCAACATGAAAGATACCTTGATAGACGAATACGACGCATAATATGAGACAGCGACGACTGAAATAATTTATAGGGGGGAAAAAAGCCCGTTTCCTGGTCGATGCTATTAGGACCATTATAATCAATTCAATAATTGATGACCGCAGGCATTAACAGCCATTAGAAAATTTCACTTGACGACGACGGGCGTGAATTCAGCGCCAGCGTGACGTCACAGCCAACACGCGCCACCGCCATGACGTGCTGGAGTCCCGAAGTGGGATCCGAGCGTCCCCGCCGGAGGGAATGCGAAGAAAAGGGACGGAGAAGCGGCACTTCCAAAGCTCCAAGTGGGCCACGCTGCGACCTGCCCCTCGGCGGGCCAACAAGCCTTGGACGAGCGGACGCGGACGCGCGCGACTCGCACTTGCAGTGACATTGGAACATTGTAGCGGCGGTCTCCCCGGCGGCGGAGCGCGTGCTCCGACCCGGAAGGGCTTTCTTTGGCGTCGGAGGGAAGGCTCCATTAAGCGCCGTCCCGGTTCAACTGAGCTCTGCACTTTTGGGCTGGACGCGGCGCGGCGCGCGCGCACGCTTCTGAGTCAGCACCAAAGCGCGCGCGCGCGCGCGGTCTAAGTGGAAAGCTTTCGGGCGCCGCCGGTCACGCACGCGCTCCTTAAGTGTTGTCTGTGGGCGTGGGTCGGCGCGGACCTGGATGAGAGCATCACAAGCTCCCGGGCCAGCACGCGGATGGAGAGCCTCTGAGGTTTGCCGCCTGGCGAGCGACGGGACCTTCCGCGAGACGTCCGGGAAGACCTTTCTCTTTCCTTTCTTGTCCTCTCCTGCTTCCCTTTCGGCCGCGAACATGGCCGTCAACGCCGAGAGCGGCGCGGCGCTGGTCCGGAGGGACCCGTCGAGCAACGGAGACTTCCGCGACACGCAGAAGCTGCTGGCCGCCGCCCCGCCCG